TCCTTCCACCTCAGCCTTCCAAGTAGCCAGAACTACGGGCGCGTGCTACCACACCTGGCTAATTTTTTGATTTATCGTAGAGACGAGGTCTCACCAAGTTACCCCAGTCTGGTCTCAAACCCCTAGACTCAGGCAGTCCGCTTGCCTGGGCCTCCCAAAGTGCTGAGATTACAGGCTTGAGCCACCACGCCTGGCCAGCTACAATCTTTCATGGTTTAATAACTCAAGTTGTTCTTTGTCGTTTTGTCATAATCTTTTTTTTTTTTTTTTTTTGAGTTGGAGTCTCACTTGGCCGCACAGACTGGAGTGCAGTGGCCGCTCCCGGCCACCGCAGCCTCGCCTGCTGGACTCCGGCAATCCTTCCGTCTCAGCCTTCCAAGTAGCCGAAATTACAGGTGTGCACTACCACACCCGGCTGATTTTTTGATTTATTGTAGAGATGAGGTCTCGCTGCCCAGGCAGGTCTTGAACCCGCGGGCTCAGGCAATCCACTCACCTCTGTCTCCCAAAGGCGCGGGATTACAGGCTGAGCCACCGAGCCCGGCTCTATTTTATTTTTTAAGGGTCAGAGTCTCACTATATGGCCCAGCTAGCTTTGAACTCCTGGGCTCAAGTGATCCTCCCACCTTGGCCTTCTGAGTAGCTGAGACTACAGGCTCACATTGTACCCTGCCATTTTGTCATAGTCTATTTGCTAGAAGCAAGTCATTGAGTATCACCCTCACTCAAGAAAAGGGAATTTAGGCTGTACCAAAGGGGGGAGTATCATAAAATTGTGGAGAAATTTTAAAACCATCATAACCAGCTCTGGCACTATTTTTCTGACTGAGGTGGTATCAGTAACACGTTTTATTCAAGCATATGTCTTATTAGTCAAGAACTTAGTATTCACTCATGGCTGGTTCTTGGAGCTAGGCGACTATAGCTCTTTTTTCCCCTTGAGATATGTTTAACAGTTATTAAGGAACTGGATGGAGAGGGAAATTGTGAACATGTGCATTAATTTATTCAGCAAACATTCACTAGATGTCACTATGTGTGGGGATATAAAATAAGCCATGGTCTGTATCTTTGAGGAATTTGTGCTGGGGAAGATAGACAAAAAGGAAAAAGAAAAGAACAATACAATACAGTGTGATAAATAGTCCAGCCTGTGCAACAAAGTGAAACCTTATCTCTATAAAAATAAAAATAGGACTGGGCATGGTGACTCATGCCTATAATTCCAGCATTTTGGAAGGCTGAGGCAGGAGGATTACTTGAGTCCAGCAGTTTGAGGCCAATCTAGGCAACATGGTGAGACCCTGTCTCTACAAAAAGTAGGGGGGAAGAAAAAAATATGAATGGTGGTGCATGCCTGTAGTCCCAGTTACTTGGGAGACTGAAGCAGGAGGATCACTTGAGCCCAAGAGTCCAAGGCTGCAGTGAGCTGTGACTGTGCCTCCAGCATGGGTGGCAGAGTAATAGCCTGACTCAAAATAAGAAGAAGAAGAAGCTGAATGTGATGGTACATGCTTTAGTCCTAGCTACTCAGGATACTGAGGCAGGAGGAGAGGGTTGCTTGAGCCCAGGAGTTTGAGGCTGCAGTAAGCTATAATTGTACCACTGCACTTTAGCCTGGGCAACAGAGTGAGATGCTGTCTCTAAAAAAAATTTAAAAATTTAAAAAGATACTATGATTAGTGGTAAACATAGAATGATTTGGCTACACAAAGAAGGGGCACCTAATAAAGACCTAATACAGTCAGGGAAACTTTCTAGAGGCAGTGACTACTGAGTGAATACCCTCACCCACCACAGAACTCAGATATAGAGATTTGTGGCCCTGTGCAGGGAAGGTCCTCATTATTCTTTTTCCCTTACAGAATGTTGCTGAGGCACAGTGCATCGCCAGCCAAGTTCAGCTTTTCTATGCCACTGATCGGAAAGAGATCTATGGGTTAGTGGAGACCTTTAACCTCAGACCAAATGAATTCAAATATATGTCTGTCATTGCTGAATTGGAGCAAAGCGGACTTGGAGCAGAGCTGAAATGTGCCCAGAACCAAGATAAGACTTAGAACTGTAAGGGTTGGCCCTTCACTGAGTTGGCTCAGCCCTGAATAGTCCAGAGCCCACCCATTCCTCAAGAACTCAAGAGCTCAGCATCTATATATAGATATAGATATATATTATATATCTATAATGAGCAGTTACTACCAGTTACTACTATACTGGTAGTAATGAGTTGCCCTGTGTGCTTTCATTGTGAAGATGAGCCCTATTACTTGATATGAAGGCACTCAAACATTCTGATCATTATCTCAGCATTCTTGAGGTTTCCTTTTTAATGTTTGAGGTTATAGCAAGAGACAGCCAAGTGTCTACAGGATGCTTGATTTGATTTTGTACAGTGTAACAGTGCAGTTGCATTCTGGCCATTTTGACCTCATAGCTCCCAAATGATCTGTTTGTCATCTTTATGAACTTGTGACAGGATAATAAGCTTGAAGACCTGCTGTAGTTAAGTGTGGGCTTTATATACCCTTCCCTTGCACCAGTCAGCTGGCCAAAGGCATAAGCCAAATACCCTATGTAGACACTAGAACAACCAGATATTCCCATCAGGATTAAGACTTCATCTAGATGTCCCCCCCTACCCCCACCCCAAGTTGCCTTTAGTGTAGGTGGCTTGGAATATCAGCAAATTTCAGGTATAGTTAGATAAACAGGTACAGTGCCTGCATATTATTAAACCATAGTTTGTGGCAGCTGCTTCTCTATCTCTGCCTATGAGAGAAACTGTGTGTTTGAAGGGATGAAGTACAATGTAAATAAAATGCTTTTATAAGGAAAAGATCGATCCAGACTTGCATGACTTTTTAAAAACAACTCTAAGCATTATATGAAAAAGTGGATAGAAGCAAATGTTCCCAGATTGGATGTGGGGAAAATGTATCATTAAAAAAAAAATAGTCTGACTTACATTCTTTGTTACACAAAATAATGAAACCTAAGTGATGTACTGTTCATAGTGTCAGTGCTATGGACTGGTTTTTATCAAAACTCATCTTGGGACTCAGCACTTGATTGGAAAGCCATAAATAAAGTTGTTCTCCAGCACTGGAAACCCATCTTGTGATTCACCTTATGAGCTCAGTGATAGAGGAGTATGGTGGCTACATATCAGCCTTCTGAACCCAAGGCCCCAGGTGCCCCAGTACTGTTGTCAACCGCCTTTACTATGCCTTTCCTTTATTGATCTCACATGCTGCACTTTGCTGCTCCTGCCTAAGATCTGGGTGGATGACACTGAATGTGGTGAGAGGGAATGTAAGCGGTATTTGCAGTTTGTGCATGTGTTTTCTTCATGACAGAAGACTTTTTATAGGTTGGGCCTGTCCTCAAGCTCTTTAAATAGGATTGGATGGCATACTATATTTCTGTGTGTGTTTGGTTGTACCTCAGAGTCTGTATAGAGACAGACAGTATTTGTTTAACCTGGAGAAGCTGTTACCCTCTCAGTTTCTCTAAAGGTTAAACAATTTCCTAATACAAATTCTGGACCTGCCACTGGTCCTGATAGTTCATCTTTTGAGGAACTTGAGTCTCATCAGCCCTACCATCTTTCCTAAATGCCCTCTGCCCTCTGACCTTCTGGATTTTTTGGGTCCTGGGAATCTTTGACATCAAGTGGGATTGCTTTTGTGAATATCCAGTTATGTTTGCTTGTCTCTCCAGATGGGCCCAGTTGTTAGCCATAGTGCATATTAACAACTCCACCAGAGGGTGAAAAAATGATGGAAAAGAAGAATGGCTACTTGTTAGCCCTCAGTCCCCACTTGCCAAGAAGGATGTAGCCTTGGAAAATTGTGTTGGATGTGACTAAAGTACCACTGGCTGTTCTTTACATTTATTTACCTAGAAAAATATGGCAAAGAAGTAAAAGAAAACTGTAACATTGAATCAGCACATTTATCCCCTGGTACTAGCATGGTGTTATAGGAAGTGGACAGACTTTAGAGTTGAGTGAATCTGGGTTTACATGTCAATGTTGCTATTCATTAGCTCTGTAATGTTGAACAAATGACTTCAACTCTCTGTTTTTATCATCTATAAAATTGGGATAATAATATCTACCTCAAAGGATTATTGTGAGAATTAAAGTAATTATATCTAGATTACAGTAGAATGTAATAAATGTTGACTCCCTTTTTCTTCCTCAACTTCCTGCCCCTCATTAAAGACTCACACAGATTAGCATTTCAGACATGCAGATCATTCTTCATTCCAATTAAAAGAACAAACCTTACTGGTTCTTACTTTAAGATGCAATAGAATCACCTAGAGCACTTTAAATGCAGATTCCCAGGCCCCAGCCTCTCCCCCCCACCACAACCTGCTAACTCAGAATGTGTGCAGAAAGCATTAGGAATCTACATTTTAATATGTGCTCCAGATGACTCTGATGTAAGAATTAGCCAGCTGCACTTTGAGAACCATTGCCTTATTTATTCTTTATAAAAATGTACATTAGCCAGGTCTTTCTTTTATGTGGACACTAACCATAGGAAATATATTTATTTATCACTGTGTCTTTTTCCCCCCACTAGACTGTAAGCTCCTTGAGGGCCAGGATCTCTCTCTATTCCCAGTGCCATAGAAGATACTCCATTGTTTGTTTAATAAATATATGACATGAATTTTAGCCAAAACATTATCTTCTTGTGTGTGTGACTATATTTAAGTGTTCTAGATTTAAAAGAGTCTCTTAATATACATAGGTTGAGAATGTGTTGAGTAGGACTATTTGCAAACCGTGACCTCAAATTATACACAAAGTCTCTATCTCACTGCCTCTGAAGTTCTGGACACAGCAAGAAGAGTAGGGTATGAGTCCTTCTCTCAAGCCATGTTCCAGTCACTGCCTGTTGCTCTTACCTCTGATTCTGTGCCTCACACTTGCACGTGGCCATAGTTTGCTCTGTCTCATTCTCAGGATGTTCATACCAGTACTTCTTTTTCTTTTTTTCTTTTTTTTTTTTTTTTTTTTGAGTTGGAATCTCACTCTTGTCGCCCAGGCTGGAGTGCAGTGGCACGCTCACAGCCACCCCAGCATCTACCTGCTGGGCTCCGGTGATCCTTCTGTCTCAGCCTTCCAAGTAGCTGGAACTATAGACACACACCACCACACCCGGCTAGTTTTTGTAATTTATTGTAGAGACGAGGTCTTGCCAAGTTGCCCTGGCTGGTCTCAAACCCCCAGACTCAGGCAATCCTCTCTCCTCGGCCTCCCAAAGTGCTGAGATTACAGGCTGAGCAACCGCCCCGGCCCATACCAGTACTTCTCTAACCATTTTGGAAGCAAAGCCACATGTTGTGTTTTACATTCTCCACAGTGCTGACCTTTTGTTCAGTCTTGGAGAAGAGATCCAAATGCCCACTCCCCTGGTCACTTGATTCATCATTCATTCATTTTTATTGAGCACCTGTAATATGCCAAGCACTGTTATAGAAAACTGGGGACTATAACAATAAACAGGACAAATAAGACCCTTCTTCTCATGTCGCTTATATTCTTATGGAGAAGACAAATAAGTAAACCAACAAGATTATTTCGAATACTGGTAGTATCATGAAAATAAATAAAAATTATGTGATAGACCGTGGAGTGAAGGCAATTGCTTAATGGTCAGGAGAGCCATCTCTGCAGAGGTGACAGCTGAAACGTAAGCTGGGAGAGAGTCAGGTAATAGAACAGCAGGGCCAAGCTGAGCATGCTTGTTTCTGGGCAGATTTAAAAGTTCAGGCCATGCCCTTCAGAAGCCCACAGTTCAGTAGGAAGACACTGACATTAATAATTACAAACTGACCGGTGCCATCTCAGAATAGGGGCAAAGGGAGCTAAGGAGCCCTACTGGGTACTATGGAGGATGCAGGACTTGCTGGACCATGGTACCTGTGAAACGCTCGTGGTTTAACAGGGAACAACAGGATTTATCTCTATCCCCAGTTTAATAATAGATGTTATTAAAGTCTCAGAGGATAATGTACTTCATGCAAGGCACAAGAGGCCCTGCGCATTCAGAGCTTGACTCAAACTGTAGTCAGGTACTGTATAACCGTGTTTTGGTCAACGACAGTCATAATGCAACAGTACCATAAGATAATGGAGCTAAAGAATTCCTATGCCTAGTGACATCATAGCTGTTAAAACATCACAGCACGATACATGATCCATGTGTTTGTGGAGATGCTGGTGTAAATAAACCTACTGCGCCTCGAATCATAAAAATATAACAGGCTGGGCACAGCAGTTCATGCCTTATAACCCCAGAACTTTGAGAGGCTGAGGTGGGAGGATCACTTGAGGCCAGGAGTTCAAGACCAGCAGCATAGCAAGACCCATCTCAACAAAAAATTAAAAAATTATCCAGGCGTAGTGGTGCATCCATGTTGTTGCAGATACTCAGATGGCTGAAACGGGAGAATTGCTTGAACTCAGTGGGTGGAGACTACAGTAAGCCAAGACCACACTACTGTACTACAGCCTGGGCAACAGAGCAAGACCCTGCCTCAAAAAAAAAAAAAAGAAAAGAAAAGCAGCCGGGCTCGGTGGCCTCAGCCTGTAATCCTGTGCCTTGGGAGGCTGAGGTGAGTGGATTGCCTGAGCCCGCGGGTTCGAGACCCACCTGGGCAACTTGGTGAGACCTTATCTCTACAATAAATCAAAAATTAGCCAGGTGGTAGCACGCGCCTGTCGTTCCAGCTACTTGGAAGGCTGAGGTGGAAGGATCGCCGGAGCCCAGCAGGTCGAGGCTGCGGTGGCCGGAAGTGGCCACTGCACTCCAGTCTGGGCGACAGAGTGAGACTCCAACGCAAAAAAAAAAGAAAAGCGTAGTATGTAAAATTATGTACAGTACATAATGTGATAATAGACAACTATGTTACTGGTTTATATACCATACTGCACTTTTATTATTAGAGTGTCCTCTTTCTACTTATAAAGTCAACTGTAAAACAGCCTGAGGTAGGTTCTTCAGAAGGTATTCTAGAAGAAGGCATTGTTATCATAGAGAGAATATCTATCTCCCTGCATATTATTGCCCTTGAAGACCTTCAGTGAAACAAGATGTGGAGTGATGTTGATAATCCTGACCTTGTGTAGGCCTGGGCTAACATATGTTTTTGTCTTCATTTTTAACAACAACAAAAAAAAACCTTAACATTTTTTTTCAATTTATTGTTTTGAGTCAGGGTCTCACTCTGTCATCCACGCTAGGGTACAGTGGCACAATCACGGCTCACTGCAGCCTCAACCTCCAGGGCTCAGGCAGTCCTTCCATCTCAGTCTTCCAAGTAGCTGGGACTACAGGCATGCATCACCCCACCCAGCTAATTTTTTTATTTTTTGTAGAGACAAGGTCTCGCCATGTTGCCCATGCTGGTCTCAAATTCCTGGGCTCAAGGAGTCCTCTTGCCTTGGCCTCCCAAAGTGCTGGGATTACAGGCATGAACCACCACACCCAGATGATATTTTTATCTTTTATACCACAGTTTTACTGTACTTTTTCTATGTTTAGATACACTAAAATGTCGTGTTACAACTGCCTACAGTTTTCAGCACAGTTACATGCTGTACAGGTTTGTAGCCTCGGTGCAATACCTACCCCATCTAGGTCTATGTAAGTACACCTATGATATTTGCACAACAATACAATCACCTACTGATGCATTTCTCGATGTATTCCTCATTAAACAACACATGACTATATGCACATTAACAATAACCACTGATATTTACTGCAGGCTTACCCTATACCAGGCATTGTGCTAAGCCCTTGCATGGATTATCTCAATCCTACCAACCCTTATGAGGTCAGCAGGAACCTGCTGGTCAGTAACATGAACTTCCCTCTCCTTGTACCCTTCTGCCCTCCCCTAGCTCCAGCTCAGAAAAGAGGACAACCTCCCAACCACCCCTAACCCCAGTCCCAGCAGTGAACTCGGGTCTTAAAAAGTGCTGGGTGGCTAGGCACGGTGGCTCATGCCTATAATCCCAGCACTTTGGGAAGTGGAGACAAGAGGATTACCTGAACTCAGGGGTTCAAGACCAGCCTGAGCAACATGGCAAGACCTTGTCTCTACAATAAATAAATTAGCCAAGTGTGGTGGTGCGTGCCTGTGGTTCCAGCTACTTGGAAGACTGAGGCAGAAGGATCACCTGCCCAGCAGGTTGAGGCTGTTGTGGCCGTGAGCATGCCACTGTACTCCAGCCTGGGTGACAGAGTGAAACTGACTCAAAACAAAACAAAACAAAAAAGTCCTGGGTGGCTCTGGAACCAGCCCTGAGAAGTGTGTCTGCCCATTTTCCGACTGGAAACTAAAGAACAAAATGCAGGCATTATATATCGCTGGTTCCTCTAGACAATTTTCAAAGATATCATATTCTAACTAGGAAGGACTTCTTTTGTGCTCTGTGCTTAATGCTGAATGGAGCGCTTTGGTCTTGTCAGTTCTCCTAATGTGGCAGGTTGGTGGCAGCATCTTTATCCCTGTTCTGCTAAAGGGGAGGCTTGGGGCACAGAAGGGGAAAAGATGACTTGAAGGTTGCTGTCTGCGTCAGGAGCCAAGCCAGGAATAGAAGATGACTGTCCATGCTCCAGACTTAATGGGATCATTTGTAATGTCCACTGAACAGGCTCATTCCTCACATTCAATAGAATGGGGTTACTTCTTTCTGAGTTCTTCAGGCCTTGGGAATTGGAATACATATAAGAAAAATTGGTTCAAACCACTTATGAATCCTCCCAGGTTCCCCAGAGTCCCTTAAGATCAGCTCACCAGAGCTTCCAGATCTGGTGCCTGGTGCTTTAGGCTCATCTCAAGCAGGGCTTCTACCCACTCCTTTGGCTCCAGCCATTCTGGATGACTGGCCATTCCCTGAACACACTGTGCTCCTCCTACCTCTGTTCTGCTCTTTTCACATACTTGTGCCTGCTTCAAATGCTCACTCCTTCATCAAGTTAATTCTTATTTGTTTTCCAGAGCTCCACTGAAGCATCTCTACCAGAAGCCTTCCCTGAAACCTCCGCTCCATGCTTCCCTTATCTGGTTCATGTGCTCCTCGGGGCTTCCCCCGCATTTTATGCTCAAGCCTTTACCAGGCTGTCTCCCTTACTACACTGAACGAATACCCCTTGGAGACAGGGTTCATAGTTTCCTCGACATGTTATCCCCAGTACCCAGCATGAAACTTGGCATAGAGAGAGAATGTGGATACTGAATAAATTCCTCTTGGCAGCCACTAAGCTCAGACCACCCGAGCCTACAAGCATTCCCTTGCATGAGATCCAGCCTTGGCAAATACGCTGGTTATGTCCCAATCCCAGGCAGTGGCCATTTTGCTTGTTCTTATTGCAGAAGGTACATGTGAAAAACCAAGCCAAGGGACCATGAGAGGAGGCAGCCAGGTCTAGGATTTGTGAGCTAAAGAACTGAGATATGATCAGCAAACATTTGGAGCAAGACTTTTTTTTTTTTGGGTCAGAGTCTCTGTAACCCGGGCTGGAGTACAGTGGCACGATCATGGCTACTGCAGCCTCAACTTGCCAGGCTCAAGTGATCCTTCTGTCTCGGCCTTCCAAATAGCTGGAACTACAGGTGCACACCACCACACCTGGCTAATTGTTCAATTCAGAGGTAAAGACGAGAT